TTATGGGTTAATAACTGAACAACTTTTTTAAGCTTACAACAATAAATTAATGAAAAAATAAAATTGAATTTTGCTGTGCTAGAGAAGTTCCCACACATTTTCATAGTGTGGAGCACACCTTAGAACAACTGTGTTGTAGATAATCTACCCACTCACTGGTGATTGCACAGACCTCCCCCATACCTTCACAATTCCTTAACATCCCTGTTGCAACTACAGCAACTGCTCGCCTGGATGAAGCAATATTAGGAAAGTACTTATGTATTTTTAGCTTCCCTTAATATAATTTAGCAGCTGGAAATGAGATGCCAGAATCATGTGACCATCTAGCAGTCTGTGAATCACTATCAGGAAATATCAAAACAAAAAATTTTGCTTCAAAACAACATTTTGAAACAAAATTACAGCTTTCATTTTGACAAATAAAATATATTCAAACGACTGTCCACTCAAAACATTTTCATTTTGGTCAAAGTTTTGTTTTGAGATTTCTGATTCAAAACTTTTTCAAATTTTTCATTCCTTAAGAATTTTCTGATATTTTGACTTTCGCTTCTGATTTGAAAGGGAAACTAGTTTAAAAGTACTGAAGTTTCCAGCAGGCCACTTTCTGCGCACCTATAATCACAAGTCAGAGATATAGGGAGTTGTAGAAGTTAAATCTGTATGTAAGTGTATCTTTCAGGTTTCATGTTTAATTTGTTAAAAAAGTTAGATTCAAATCAAAGAATTTCTAAAGGCCTAGCCATTACCATCAGATAGATTACCGTGGACATCACATGAGAGGTGGGTTTTGCATACTGCACAAGATTCCCTGTGTCATCCTACTAAATACAAACCCAGAGATTTTTAGGCCTCTCAGATTTGCTTCCCAGAGGGCAATACATCAAACTGCAAGGTAGTCAACTACCTTCATCTCACACTGGAGGTGAGCTGTAGCTCACGAAAGCTCATGCTCAAATAAATTGGTTAGTCTCTAAGGTGCCACAAGTACTCCTTTTCTTTTTGCGAATACAGACTAACACGGCTGTTCCTCTGAAACCTGTACAACTATTAGCACCAGTGATTAGGCATCTCAAGGCCATATTTTCAGAAGTGTTCAACACTCACATCTGGTGCTATTTTTTTTGTTTGTTTGCCTATTTTAAAACAACAGCTCAGCACCTAGCAGCAACCACTGAGAACAATGAGGTGCCAGGGCTGAGCACTTATGAAGTGGGGCCCCTCAACTTCAAAATTGGTGTAAGTCTGAAAAAAAGGTCAGTAACCAGATATGGAAATATTTATTCTCCTTTACGCCAACTTTCCAAGTGCCATTTTGCATAGCACCAACAAAGATGGATGCAACCAGCCCTATACCAAACAGGAAAAACTACATTATTTAAGCTGTCCTGTGCACCGCTTCACCCTCCTATATTGACAGTCTGGGCTTTGTCCCATTTCTCAACAGGACAGTTAAAGTCTCAAGCAAAGACAAAGAACAATGAAGTTAGCTGTTCTTAGCTGCATATATGAATTCATTAAGAATACTATTTTATGTACCACCACCATGATTTTCTCTGCCCGTCAACTTCAGGAAAAGTGCTGTGAGCAACATTGACCTCCATACCTGGCCTTCAATGACCTCACAAAAGCATTTGACTCTACCAATCATGAGGCTGTGGAGAATTCTCCTTTAATTTGAATGCCTGCCAAAATTTATTATGTTCTCTGACTCCTCCATGACAACATGTCTCTGACTGTTGTCAGCAATGGATCTGAAACAGACCCCTTCCTAGTCAAGATAGGAGTAAAGCAAGGTTGTGTCAGCTCCAACCTTTTTCTCCATCCTCCTTGCCGTCATCCTTCTTCTCATCCGTGACAAGCTCCTCCCTGGCCCAGACATTCAATACAGAATGGACAGCAAGCTCTTCAACCTCAGTCGCCTCCGATCCAAGACAAAACGATCACTAAGGCTGCGAGTTTGGCACGGAGGTCATGAAAGTCGACCTCTGTGACTTCTGCAGCAGCCAATGCAGCTCACCCAGGGGCTGCCTGAGCAGCTTAAGCAATCCCTGAGCCAGCCGCAACAGCCACTGCTGGGGCAGTCTCGGGCCACCATGTCCTTCTCCCGCAGCGGCAGCAGGAGTTTGGGTGTGGGCTCAGGGCTGGGGTGCAGGACGGGGTGAGGCCTCTGGACAGCGCTTACCGGGGGGTGAGGGGTAGGCGGGATGACTCCCTGGATGCGGTTCCCGGCCGATTGGAGCTGCGGAGGCAGTGCTTGGGGCGGAGGCAGCGCGCAGAGCTGCCTGGCCACGCCGCCACCTAGGAGTAGAGGGAAGGGGATGTCACTGCTTCGGGGAGGCGTGAAGCCAGGCAGGTAGCATGCCAGCCCTACCCACACGTACCCACTGCACCCCTGGGCTGACTCCCCTCATTCCCTGCAAGATTTAGTCAGGGGTATATAGTACTAGGCTATGGAGAGGTCACCGGCCATGAATTTTTGTTTACTGCCCATGACCTGTCCATGACTTTTACTAAAAATAGCCCTGACTAAACACAGCCTTAACTATCACTAAATCAGTCACTGAACTCCAATATGCAGATGGCTATGCCCTGTGCGCTCACTCAGAATATGATCTTCAAAAAATAGCCAACACTTTCTCTGAGGCCTATAACCAACTTGGTCTCACACTCAACACCAGGAAAACTAAGGTACTCCACCAACAGGCTCTGAATCACCAGGATCCTGCTCCGGTAATTCAGATCAATAAAGAAACCCTGGAGAACACAGAGCACTTCTTTTACCTCAGCAGCTACGTATCACATAAAGCTGACATTGAGGAGGAAATTCAACAGTGCCTTCAAATGCGCCAGTGATGCTTTTGGACACTTGACAAAACATCTTCAAAAATCGTGACATTAAGAATCAAACCAAGCTTCTCATGTACCAGGCCATTGTTGTCCCTGCTCTCTGGGTCACGTACAGTAGACACCTCAAGGCTCTTGAATGATACCATCAATGGTGCCTCTGCAAGATCTTCCGAACCAGTGGGAAGACCAAGGCACCAGCATCAATGTTCTGTCCCAAGCCAAACCTCCAGCACTGATGCTATGATCATCCACCAACAACTCCACTGGGCTGGTCAAGTTCTTCGAACGCCAGAAAATCGAATCCTGAAGCAGGTCATGTTCTCACAATTGTTCCACGGCCAATGGACAAGGGTGTGGGGGGAGGTCTTCAAAGACACCCTCAAAGCCAACATGAAGAAGTGCAATATTGACAAACTCATGGGAAACCGAAGTTCTCAATGACCTAAATGGAAAAGGACTTTGTGGCAAGGATCCCAGTATTTCGAGATCCAACAGAAACAGGAAATGGAGAAATGGAATAAAAGGAAAGAGCACACCGCAGCCCCACTCAACAATCTTGATCCACCCCTTCCATTGGGAAACGTCGGCCCCAACTGTGACAAGATCTGTGGATCCTGGATTGATCTCATTAGCCACCAGCAATAACTGACTATCATTATATGGAAGAGAACCATCCTTGAACCTCAAAGGATCGTGGACTACTATACTATTTTATGTTTCTTTTTCTTGAAAATTACAGTGTAGTATCACAATTTAAACTGCTCATTTCAGCATTTTGAGTCACCTGCCATATACGAACATGGTGGTCAAGTGAAAAACAGTTTCCACTAAAACTAACACAGTCAGTGAACTAGTTGTTTGAACATTGCACCGCTATGCGGTAAAACCTTGTAGAACCCCTGTATTTACGCTGCCTAATGGTTCCTGCTATAAAAGTCCTGGGATTTTTTTTTCGGAGACGTTTTAACCCGCTACATTGTTTGCAGCAGACCTTTGAAATTTTGCAGGGAGGAAGCCCTCAGACAAGACATGTGCCTTTTGCTTGTGCCATAAAATTCTATTCAACGTGGCCTAAGTTGTAAACTGTTAAGCCACCACTTCCCTTCTTTTACTTGCATTACTAAGGAAAATTCTGACAACATGCCAAAATTATAACCGAACTTGAACATGGTAACAAACAGAGCCTAAACTGCCATTCAAACAGCAGTGGCACAAATTTGTACTCAAAATGCCAGGGAACGACAAAAGCAGCCCGGAATGAGGGGAAGAAGAAGAGAGCCAGATCAAACTTCCCCCTGACCACAACCTCTGTCACATGGCTTGATAGGTCCATTTTGCCCTCTGGGGGCATCACAGGGGGCAAGTGTGTCTCCAACCCATGGAAGAGGTGGGAAGACCCAGGCTAGACTCCCCACAACCCCCGCTCCACCATTTTGGAAGAGTAGAGAGACCCCCCCCCCCCCCCACCCCGCCAAAAAAAAAAGGGGGGAGGGAGGAAAATCCCAAGGCCTGCTTCTTGCACACTCTTCCAGTGTCACTTTCTGACACCAATGCTGAATAGTAAGTTCTTGGTTTGTTTGTTTATTTTTAAGTTCTTTTTCTTCATTTTCCATTTATTACATCATTAACTACAGCTTTTGGTATATGAGGGACAGTTCTGAGATACTGATGGATTTCAGAACTGAAGATACTCCAGTAGTCTTGCTTGACCCCTGTAATAACACAGGGGGTGATGTAACACGAAGTTCTAAAAAGTGGCTGGTGGCCACTCACATCTTTAATAAAGAAGTGAAGCCTATAGAAACCGCAGCTCCCAGCTATACAATTCTTCATCTTGATGCAGACAGAAGGCTGCTGGAATCAAGACTGATCACTGCATACTAGCAGCCACAGTACCCATGGCCTACACCTCATAGTCAGAAGGTAAGATCAGCTCAAACATGCTCTGCCTTACAGATTTGAAGCCCCTCAGCTCAGGAACATCTGAGCTCCTGATATGCACATTTACCATTCTTTTCTTATTCTGGACTCCACTATTTTCAAACTATTTTAATACCCCTAAAAATTCAAAGAGTACAGTATTATAACAATACCACTTAGTGGCCTTAATGAAGCTTATTGTCTGTGACCTCTCAATGCTAACTTACCTTCTCTCCGCTAGAGTAGAAGAAGTATCGCAATCGGACAATGTTACAGTGATCCAACTTTCTCATGATCTGGAGCTCTCGGTTCTAAAAGAGAAAAAGCACCATAAGGTTAGAAAAATTGTTTTTTTGTTGTTGTTTTTTTTAAAATAGTGATGTTACGGTGTAGTGTGCACCTTAAATGTATTGGCCAAGAGCACATGAAAGCCACTGAATCAGGGATGCATTAGGAATGGGGTGTTGAAAAGAAAAAGTCTGGAAGTTTAAAGTAGCTCCTTTGTCATAAGTACCAAATGTGGTTTAGTCTGTCACATGTTGCTCCTCATTCCTCTTCCTCCAATTGTTTTAACTATAGTATTCAGGGGTGCAGATTTTCTTAAACTTAAGAGCGCTGTAATTAAACAACCAACCCAAGGTGTCGAGCACCAGAGCTTGTTGCTGTCAAGCAGATGCAATAAATATTGTATTCAAACTCAGTTTTCAGTTTGTATTTTCTAAGCTTTGAAAGCTACATATTCTAGTCTGAATGGTCAGCAGGCTTGAACTGTCCACAGAGTGGAATGGTAGTGATTTCACAGTTAAGGCTGCAGCAGGGTTTTAAATCTTTATTTTGAAGATGCTGTAAAAGTGATAAAAAACAGAACAGACGTTAACTGACAATAATTTATTTTTTTCGCGTTGGTTTGGAGCAGTATGGGTAGATACAACTAAGTGATCAAAAATAAATTCAAAAATTTTAAAAGGTGATTCCACCTGTTCTTGGAACCTTTTTGTCAGAAATGTCTAGAGTTCATGGATCTGATTTCTGCTTTGGACAACACTACGTAGAAGCAGGTACTCTCTTTTTCTTCACAATGTTTCTAAGCCGCTATTGAACAGCGGAGAGAGAGACAGAGACAGACAGACAGGTAGGTGAACACATTTCCACACCAAATACTCCTGTTGCCTAAGGCAGTTCCCTGAGCTGGGAATCAGACAACCATGCAGTCAAATCTCACTTCTACTGACTGAAGTCTGACAAGATTTATACAGAACGATCAGAAGGACACTCTGTTTTGCTTGGCAGAATAAAGAAAATTACTGTTAGTGACTAAACATCTCCACTTTGTAGCAATCCAAAAAAGCAATTAATTTAAAATACATTTATAGAGCACGATAAATGTGCATTAGCTCATGACAGATGACAATGGTCCCTGCCTCAAAAAGCTTAAGACAAAGTGAGATGGTGACAAACATAGGTGTGTAGGGAAATAGACTGGGGCCCCACAGTGATGAGCTAACAGTACAAACAAAGAAACAATCCATTTTCCAGAGAGTCTTACACTCTAAATACAAAAATAAATGAAGAGCTAAAGTGTGGATGGGGATAGAACACAAAAGGAGATGTAACTAACAAAGCCATGCCAATTCATGTATTGTTATTGGTACATTCCCCCCAACACCATCCCCTAATCACTTCTCCCATGTTCTCTTTTCCACATCTCTCTTTTACCTCTGCCTAAACCGGAGGAGATAGTGTAGCGTATCAGTAGCAAAAAATGTTCAAGCTTTATTAAATAGAGACTAGTCACTATAAAATCAGATCTGAAACTAGCTTTTTATACACATCTAATTTTGAATGTACCCCTACACCTTTACTTTGCCAGATTTCAACTAATATACCTGAAATTTGGCATGCAGCATCTTAGTCAAGGGAAAAATCTTTCTGCAAGACTTGGGGTAAATGGGAAAAGAAATTTGAGAGCTGGGGGGGGGGGGGGGAAGTGGGTAAAAAATTCAGGCTAGTTTCATTTCTGGGTCATTTTCTTAACTTTTTTTTTTTTTTTTTTTTTTTGCTTTGTCACATGCCCCGCCAAAACAGCTTGATTTAGAAATATTAAATTTGTCTTGTTAGCACTGTTACCTCTGACTAACTTCGGGAAGATTTGGGAGGGAGAGAGCGTTTCCATACACCTAAGTGCACATAGCTAATGTCTGCTTTATAAAGCATCACTGTCATAATTTGGACTTCATAAGCCATGCATCTGAGCCCCTCCCACCCACCCCCCCATCATTACTCTGCAAACTTCAGAAACTGCATGTATCATATGGAGATCTTAAAGTATGCATGGTTCTGACCCTCAGTTAAAGAAGCTTCCTGCCTCCTGCTTCAATATCCTTTACCATATACCCTTAAGAACAGGTGCTATCTAGGAGGCCTTGAGTTTTAATCCCATCGCTGCCATTGACTGACTTTAAATCACACTTTGTATTATATAGCACTTTACAATCAGTGACATTTCACAATACCATTATGAAATTGGCAATTATCTTTGTTTATAGATAAGGAAACTGAGGCTCAGAGAAATGATTGATCAAAAGCCCCACTGTTTGTGGCAAATCCATGGAAACAACACAGGTTTTGTGCATGACAGGCACATAAGCGTCTCAAATTACCTCTCTAATGTGCTTCATTTCTAACCGGGAGAAGCCCGCTCCGGGGGGGGAGAAAGAGAGAAGAGAGTTCAATTCTTCAATCATTCTGTCCCTGATCTCTATTAAGATTGCTAAAGAGGAACCAAATATTACCAGCTATGATAGCGTTTTCTGTAAGGCACATTTATTCACTGGGAAGAAGAATGAGTTCATCAACATTTCACACTAACCACTGGACATTCATCATATGGTATCAGCTTTTAGTCATTGGAGAAACAGGTCAAATCTGAACAACTGATCCTAAATACGAAAGGCTCCTTATGCCATCAGTCATTGAGCTTTCTATTATGATAGCAATCTTAATACTTTCTGGAGGGTTTTCAAGGTGTTCACATTTCCATTGGAGTACTGAACACAAGATTGGAAATCTGGAAGTTCTGAGATTGAAACCCAGCTCCACCAGTGATTTTTTCATTACATGACCTGGGGCAAGTAATGCCTTTGTTTCAACAGCTTGAAGATGAGGATAGTAATAATTTCACACCTCCATGGGGTACTGGAAGATAAATCAATGTTTGTACAGTGCTTTGAATGTATAAAGCACTACACAAATATTATTATTTCAAAAGTATCTTTATAAACTCCTGAATAAGTGTGTGTACTCCAGCTCATACTGTTGCTTCATGATCTTAGGATCTGTATGCCTGATACCATACAATAATACATTCTAGAAATCAGCGGATGTTATTCTAATACTGTTACAAGTTCTATTGTGTCTCAGTAACCCATTCCAGGACAAGTGCGATCTCTGCTGCTCTGACGCCTCCCACTCCTTGCTCCATCTCCTTAGGCGCTCTCCCTAACCATCTGTCTCAGCTCCATGAACAGCTCATTATTGAGTGGTGACAGGAGAGTTAATTCATCCAAACATACAGTAAAACTAACACTTCACATACTAGAATCTAACAGGATAAAATGAAGGATTTTTATTTCTTTAAAGTAAAACCTAACCAATCTCTGAATCACAGTTCACCTGAACAAACTAGATCAGAAATACATAAACAGCTGTGAAATTACAACAAAGATTGTGACAGGGAACACATACTAAAGTTGATGATGATTAAAATAAAATAATCTAATGCTAAAATATGAAATTCAGTAAGCTTTTAAGGACCCATTTTTCTCATATTAGTACTCCCAGCATATAAATTTCCTTGAACAGCCTAAATAAACAAAAGCCACTCACTTTACAAAGTAGCATCTTACCAAGTAGTTCCCATCTACAGTGACTATTCTTGACTTGGAGATCACTCAAATCATAGCTTTTGAAATAAACAGAAAAGCTCCAAATAAAATGTCACAAGCAGATGAGAAAGTGTGAATGGAATACAGCATATAAAATCAACTTATATTAGCAGAGAGCCTTATTACATAAATCAGTGATGGCTACCTTACATATAATTATAACAGATAAAATGCTTGTCTAAGTACAGTGTAACTAAAATCATTTCAGAGACACAGCCAAAAAAGGCTGACAGAGCACATCCAAAGTAGAGGGTGGATGAAAACATAAGACCTCTGCTCATACCCAGTAATGCCTCTTTCTTGTATTCCAGAAGCAACAATCCAGACAGTGACTTGGGTGATACATGTGCAAAGACAAGCTTCACCTAGAACAGTGGCTCTCAAACTCTGGGTCAGGACCCCGAAGTGGGCTGGGACCCCGTTTTAATGGGGTCACCAGGGCGAGCATTAGACTTGCTTGGGCCTGGGCCCGAAGCTTAAGACTGAGCCCCACTACCCAGGGCTCCGTCTTCGGCTTCAGCCCTGGGCAGTAGGCTCAGGTTACAACCCTCCCCCAGGTGAAGCCCTTTGGGTTTGTCTTTGGCCCCCCAACCAGGGATGGCAGGGCTCAGGCTTCAGGTTTGGCCCTCCAGCTCAGGGTGGCAGGGCTCAGGCTTCAGTCCCCCCTCCTGGTGTCGTGTAGTAATTCTTATGGTCAGAAGTGGGTCGCAGTGCAATGAAGTTTGAGAACCCCTGTCCTAGAATATCTTCTATCAACAATCCCACCAAATGTTACTATACCAGTTTTCTCAAAAGCAAGGAAACGGCTTGGTATAAAAAGGCTTTTAAAAATGTTCTTTGGGAGTAGACTATGTTTTTTTCCAGGTTGTACATTTCCAAATTTCTACAAACCTTTGCTTACCATAGCTACAAACCATAGAGCAGTTAGTCTAAATCAGAACTATGATCTCACTAGGCATTAGTGAATGTCCAGCCCTCATTCCCAATTGCCACACTGGAGAACAAAAAGATTTATTTATAGTGAAATAAAGAATTCCTGAAGCACACATTCTTTTGAGAAACACTGAGCATTAAGGGGCTACAAACAGATCTCTTTGCAACTTATTTTCAGTTTGTGTTATTCAGCTAAAACCAGAATGAAAGGGGGGGGGGGGTGTTCACACGTGAATCTAGAAAGTTAAACTCTTAAGTTTTTCTTGGTGACAGAATTATAAAACCTGATGTGCCAGAAGTGCCCCTTCGGTAATGATTATTCTACCAGTTCTAAAACACTTTTCCTAGCCCGGAATGCCAAAGAGACTACCTATACAGCTTATTATTTTAAATTAACCTGTTTGCCCATCCCACATTTCAGTTACAAAAATTGA